TTCAGCCAGCCAAAACAAGGATGCACACAGCCTCAGAGCCTATGAGGACCTGGACTGACATCCCGTCACTTGTCACTGTTTGCTGACCCTCTGCGGTCCTCACTGCTCTCCAACTCCACAGCCACATCTTGACCCTGGTGGGGGCTGCGACTTCTCCCTGTGATCCTCTCAGCTGGCCATCGGCCCCACCCCAGGGGAAGTCTGCCTTGGTTCCTGACCTGGTCACTGTCTGAGTGAGTGGGCATCTGTGGACTTGGAGCCCGAGGCCTGAGACTTTACACCCAGCACCTGAACTTCGCATGCAGAAGGAATGTCTGTCAGGAGCCTGTCACGATGAGTGTGTTTGCAGTGCCTAGAATTAATTAGTCTAGAACTGTGTGCTGTGAATTGATCATGTCTATTGCAGCGCCTGGCACTAAGGATCGTCGTTTTCTTGATCAAGAACCTATAGTGAAATTGTATTGAGTGATTTGAGTGAATAAATCATGGGAAAGGGCAGAAGCGTGTGGCCATTCTTTACTTCTCCCCCTTGACTGCCTAAGTCGCACCTTTTGCCATCGGGACACTGGGCCACATGGTGACTCTGCCTAACTGGATTCCCGTGGCGGTGCAAAAGGCCGTATCCCCACAGTGCAGCCTGACTTCTGGGTCAACAGTGTCCACGCTGGAGGGTGCATGTTGGTGCTCACCGTGGTGTCCACCTACCTCTCCCTGATGGTCAAGGCACCAAGCATCCTTTCACGCTAGTGCTGGGCATTGATGTGTTTTCTTTAGAGATATGCCTGTGTGACCCCTTTGCCCATCCTTAAACTATGCCATTTGGGGTTTGGTTGGTGAGTTGCTATTCTATATATTCAGAGTATTACTCACCAGCCAAGTTTATTATTTGCAAATATTCTTGCCAGTACTACCTGTTATCCTTCATGGTGTTAATGGTGTACTTTGTGGCACAGAAGTTGATTTACACAAATTAGATTTGTCTATTTCTTCTTGTTGCCTTGACCAAGAAGTCATTGTTAAATCCTATGTTCCCAGACTTGATGTTTCTTCTAAGAGCTTCTGAGCACTGTGAGTTAATTTTTACATATGAGGTAGGTAGGAGCTCATTCCTTTCCTGTATGCATACATATCTATTTTTCCCCACAGCATTGTTGAACATACTGTCCTTCCATGCAGAATGGTCTTGGCACACCTGTTAAAAACCAATGGACCACATACATAGCATCCATTTCTGTTCTTCCTTTCTTATTCCATGGGTCTGCATGTCTGGCTTTATTCAGGATGTTTTATTCAGGTTTCTGTTATTGTCATAAAATACCTGAGATAATCAGCTTATGAAGAGAAAAGGTTTATTTGGGCTCACAGTTATGGAGTTGTTGGTTCAGGGTCTGTTGGACCTGTGGCTTTTAGGCCTGTGGCAGGCAGCACTCATAGAAGAAGCCCGTGGTGGGGAAGCTGCTCCCCTCCCAGCAGCAGGGAAGCCAGGAGAGGAGGAGGAGGAGGAGCCTGGGGCCCAGTGCCCTCTGGGAGATGTGCCTCCAGTGCCCCAGCACCCCCAGGGCCCGGGGCTGGGGACCAAGCCTTCGAGGACCCTCCAGATTAGACTGCAGCGCCAGGCACGCGCTGCGATCGCGGCTGCCCTGGAGGAACTTGTCAAGTCAGAAGGAGGGGCCCTGCTGCGGTGACGGGGACGGCCCTGGACGGGCTGACAGGCTGGGAGAGGAAGGACGGCTCAGGGCGGCGCAGGGCGCAGGTCTTCCCTCCTGCGGGTCTCCCTCCTGCCCCTCGGTGGAACTTCCCGCTTCACGCCTTTCCAGGCGGCCCACGGCAGGGTGTGGAAATGCAGCTGGGTTCTGTTCGGTTGGCATCATGCGGCTTCGTGAGTTCTGATCAGTTCTGACCCGACTGTGGCGGGCAGCCCCTCCCCTGAGGATGCAGGCTGCAGGCTTTTCAAACAGGGTCCTGGTCCCCACACCACCCGAGTGAGTGGCTGAGCGCCTTGCGCCTTCCCGGGAGGTGGGGTTTGTCCAGGGCCTTCCGGCACCCGTCCAGGTGGTCTCGGGTTTCTCTCCTTCAGAGTGCTGTGTGACATTGATCCGTTTTGTCAAGCCGTCCTCGCATTCAGGGATGAATTCCACTGGGCCCCGGTGTGACACCCTTTAACACGCTGCTGGCTGTGGTTTGCTGTCATTTTGTTGAACTTACATTAAAAAAATAAAAACCGCGACCTTTTCTGCTCCATCTCTTCATTCAGCTATTCCAAAACACAAATGTGCACCCTGAATTCCTTCTGTGCGTTTCCGTGTCTGTAGAGGGAGATCCAGGGCCCAGGACTCTGAGCAGGACACAGAGGTCAGACGGGACCTGGAGGCAGCGGCTTGGTGAAGGAAGGGCGGCTCCGCCTGTGGGAGACACCTGGTGACGGGAGCCCCCGGCAGGCAGGTCACCAGATCGGCCCCCTGGCGCCCAGACACAGCAAGGGCACTGCCGGCCTCCTCGGTGTTAGAGGCCCAGTGCTCCCACCAGCGGGCGGCGGGCCTCTGACGCTCCACCTGCAACCCAGTCCCTAAGACCCTGCACAGTCCCCGGCCCCTTGGCCTTCTGTTGGGCAGAGGTGACCCCAGCACCTTCTGAGGCCCACCCCAGTGGGGAAGGAGCAGGTGCAGGGCTGAGGCCGGTCCCGGAGCACAGGGTTTCCAGAACACTGACCACCTGACCACACGCATCCCCCCACAGGCTGCCTGGCTCCCACACCTTTCAGGCCTCACTCCGGTGCGCTCCCCAGAAGCCCTGGCACCCGGCCACTGGGTGGCGCCGTGGCCCTGGTCCCCCTGTGCAGGGTCGCACGGGGTCCCCCACCTTCCCCAGAACAGGGTCCCTGTGTGGGCGGGAGGGGCCGTCTCCTTCCCAGGGGGCGCCTGCCCCCAGTGGGGTCCTCACGGTGGGTTTTCCTTCGGGGCAGCTCCCTAGCAAGACCCGCGGGACTCTGGCCACGGTTTTGCTCTTGAGGGGCAGCACGGTCTAGCAGCATCATCGTGACCACACACAGAGGACAGATCAAGACAGTCTCCAGGAGGAGGGCGTCCCCACACCACCCAAGTGGCGGAGCACTGGGCAAGTGCAGAAGGCCGCCCAGCAGCTCAGGAGGCAGGACCTGGCTGGGCCCAGAGGACCAGGCAGGAGCTGGAGCAGCAGCTAGGCCCCCTGGGCTCCTCCAACAGCCACCGAGGCCCAGCGCCTCCCGGGCTGTGCTCCCCGTCCAGCCCCAGGAGTCCCACCTGCCCGCATTAATGCCCACGGCCACGGGGGAGTCAACGATGCTCCCAGGGCCTCGAGGCCACCCCAGGACAGCAGACCTGGCTGCAGGAGCCAGGCAGACAGGGCAGTGGACATTCTTCGGGACAGAATGGGCCCTGCCTCTTGTTGTGCTGTGCCCCAGGAGAGGGCAGGGACTCCGGGGGAGAAGGGGAACCTCGGCCCCGCAGCCTGCAAAGCCAGAGCGGGTGGTTGGCAGCCACCTGCCCCTCAGACCTGGCTCCTAGCGCCAGAGGGTCAGGACGGGGCCTGGTGGGTCCTGGCCAGAGACTGATGGGCTCCGGGATGTCCCACCCTCTGCTGTGAGGCTACCCACAAACCCACTCCCAGGCTGCTCTCCCACTGGGGCAGGGGGTCCACCAGGGGCTTCCCAGTTCTGGACAGGGCCTGACCAGAGGGAACTTGAGGCCCCTGGAGAACAACCATGGAAGGATGAGGGACGGACACCCTCCAGAAGAGCGGGCAGGGGACATGACGGTGGCTGGTGGCAGGGAGGAAGGAGCAAGTGCTGCCCGGAACCCTGTGGGCTTTAGTGCATGGACACGAGCGTCTCCGGCTCCTAGGACTGCCCGGGGACAGACCAGGCGTCCCGGGAAGGACGGCCTCCTGCCCGCTCTGCGACTCCCCCAGGGCACTGCTGCGTCTGAGCTGGACGAGTCAGAAGCTCAGGTCCCCTCACACGGAGCACAGCCCAGCCGTGCTGGGCGGCCCTGGTGCCTGCAGCCCACTGTGACCTCAGCACAGAGGTCACTCCCTGACCCTGGGCCCCGGCACCTGGGGCCGCTGCCGGGCACAGCACACAGCTGGTGTCTATCGGCAAGTGGCCAGCTATGTGTACCCTCTTCCCTCGCGGAATAGGAGGAAACGTTGGCAATGGACTTTGTTTCATAAAACACAGGATGGGGCCAAACGGGACTCGGTTCCTGAACAGACTTGGATCACACCCGGGAAACGGAGCCCACTCTCAGCTGCACACACCACTGAGAAGGTCTTGTTGCCCAGGAAGCCGTGTGGCCACAGATCTCTCACCTCGGACCCCCCCGGCCTGCCTCCCTCCACAGGGACGCCCCCAGCCAGCAGGGCTGACACAGCAGGTCCCCAGGTCAGTGTGGGCTGGCGCTGACTGCCCACAGTGGACACGGCCCCGGGCTGCAGGTGGAGCAGTGCCCCTCCCCCAGCAGGGGCCCGGGAAGCCTCGGGGAAGGGTGACCTGTCCCCACCTGGCTCACCCGGCCACCTTGGGCCTCAGTGGTTAAGAGGCCCCTCCCTGCCACCAGTAACCCACCTGCTGCCCCACGGAGCTGCCCCCTTCAGGTGTCCTGGGAAGGACGGCCTCCTCCCTGCTCTGCGGCTCACCCGTCCACCAGGCGACCCGCCCGCTGGTTTCATTAAAGAGGATCGTGGCACAGAGGTTAGCTACTGAGATCAAATGAACCACGCAGACTCGGTGACCTTCTCTATGACCGGGTCGCAGACGGCCCTCCCTGTGGCTCACACCTCAAACCACCCGGTGGGGCAGCGAGCTTACTCGGGGCTAGCAGGAGAGAGCCAGAGTGGGCACGCCAGGGAGTGGCCTTTTATTGGGGAAAATTCCATCCAGTGAAGGTCGAGGGGGGCAGCATCCCAAGGTCAGGGTCAGCGATTGGCCTCAGGGTCAGTGGTCAGTCACACCCCCACACGGACAGGTTCTCGCACCTGGAGAGGGTGGGGATAGCTCCGACACACTTTAGCCAGAGCGCCCCGCCCCCAATCCCGGAGGTGCCCAATCACGTGCGAGAACGGCTCCCCACACCCCCAGGGGACTGCTGCGTCTGAGCTGGGGAGCGTCTCTCCCACCTCCTGTGCCCCCCGCCCCCCCAGGAAGAGCTGGGGAAAGTCACCCAGGACAGAGGCCCCTTCTGCCTTGGGTCCTCACTGTGTGACCTCCCTGGCCTCTGTCCCCTCCCCATAAGATGGACACCGAGGGTAGAAATGACTCGCCCAGGACTGAACACAGTGCCCTGGGGCAGAGCCCAAGAAGCTTAGTCCCACCCTGGGCAGCACTGGACCCTGGCAGGCCCATGCCCACAGCCCCAGGAGTGGGCAGCACAACAAGAGGCCTGTCGGGAGCCGGAGCCTGGGTTCTCCTCCCGCCCGCTGGATCTCTCAGGGGGTGCCCAGGCCGACTGCCTGTCTCCCTGGTGCCCAGGCTGGGTGGACCACGTGGAGATTCTGTCCTCGGCTGGCACCCTCTGCAGATCTGGAACAGGCGGAGACTCGCTGTGAGCCCCGGGACCTTCGCAGCCCTGGAAACCCGGAGACTGTCCTTCCGTACAGCAGCCATGGGGCTCGGACAGGTCAGCTTCCACCACGGGCCCTGGGTCAGAGGCCAGCATCCCTGCCAAGAGGGAAGAGGACACAAGGTCCAGGACCTCGCGGCCAGGCTGACAGCAAGGGGAAACACACACATGCAAAGTCAGAGAGACGCAGAGCCACTGCCCTGTCCTCCACACGACAGTCAGGAAGTACAGCAAGAGTTCCCAGGCGCTCCGCGGTGGCCAGGCGCTCCGCGGTGGCCAGCCGCTCACAAACACGGCCATGATTGACCCCAGGCCACTCTACCACTGGCCCACATCCCCAGCCCTTTTTATTTCTTTGTTTTTACTTTGAGACGCGGCCTGGCTAAGTGGCTGAGGCTGGCCTGGAACTCGGGACCCCCGGCCTCAGCCTCCCGAGTGGCTGGGATCACAGGTGTGGCCACCGAGCCTGTGTCACGTCTCCCACCGCAGCCCTGCTCCTCACCGGCTGTGCTCCCGTACAGATGCATGCTCCGGGATCGCACAGGACCTGGCCTCTGCCTCATCCCCACGGTCCTGTCCAGGTTCCCCCAGGCTGCAGGTCGCGACCCACCTTCCTGCCCTCGAGGACCACTGTGCTTCTCACCCACTCGCCCTCTGACATCGGGGTCGCCCTCCCTTGGCTGCAGCCATGCACCCGAAGGCCCTACCACGACTTCTCCTGAGTGGGGTCCTGTCTCTGAGGAGACCCCACAAGGCCCCCCCCCAGCAGGACGTCTGGCTACAGTCCTTGCCCCCCCCTTCAGAGCTCAGCGCGTCCCGTGGGTGTGCAGAGAGGCCTGCCTGAGGCTGGGCGTGTCCCTGGAGCGCCTGCTCCTGGGGCCTGGCTCCTTTGCCAAGCTCCTGCTGACGAAGTCCCGAGCTGCTCTCCTCCGTCCCTGGGGTTTGGTTTTGCATTGAAGAAGCCACACCCCAACCCAAAGCCTAAGGGTCAGCCCTCGTTTCCTTCTGGGACATCCGAGTTGAGTGACATCTTTGGTCCAAGTGGATTTGGCTCTTTGCATGTTGAGGTGGGGCCCAGATCTACTTGGAGTTGGATGTCCAGCTGCCATCTGGGTTGAAAAGCCGCGCTCCCTGGTCCGAGGAGCGGGCGCAGGCCGGAGGGTTGGATGCTGGGCCCGGTCCACGCCCGTCCTCCCGGCAGTGCCACCTGCGGGCTCATGGAGGCCCTGCCCTAAGTTCTGAAGAAGGCACTGGGGGTCCCCCACTGTGCCCTGAGTCAGGACTGCTCAGGGTGTCACAAGTCACTCAGGTCTCGGAGACCAGCCTCAGGTGCGGATCCTCCTCTGCAGAGGGTCCTGGGGCACTGCGTGGTCCGGGGTCTTCCAGTACTTCAGGCGACGCTCAGCACCGCTCAGCCCAGTCTGGTTCTCAGCTCTTCCTTCGTTCCTGATAAGGTCCCTCTTTATTCTTATTCTACCACAGGCCCTTTCCCTCGGCGTTCTTGGTCCAGCTAAAGCCTGCTGACCGGGACGAGGCTGTTGACTCCTGGCTTCAGGTCGCACTTGCTATTGTCTGCCTGACACTCTCTGGCCCTGCCCTGCCGTCCCGTCCCCTCCCCTGCCGTCCCCTGCCCTGCCGTCCCGTCCCCTCCCCTGCCGTCCCCTGCCCTGCCGTCCCGTCCCCTGCGCTGCCGTCCCCCGTTTTGCGTGGCGTCTCTTGGTCAGAGGCTGTTGTGGGAGTGGATTCTTGCAGACACTGCTGTGTGCACACTGTGTCTCTGTCCCTGTTCTAACTGGTTTTCTCCTTGTGGATGGACCTTTATTCTTTTATCTGTAAGTGGTGCCTACACTTGCCGCAGGCGCCCACCGCCCCGCCCCACCCCGCCCGCCCGCGTCCCCATTTCCAGCCTTCCCTGACCGCCTGGTGTTCTCCTCTCATCCGCTTGGTCATTCAGGAGCATGGAGCCTCATGTCCACATATCTGTGAACCCCCAAGTTTCTGATTGGAGTCCGTGATGGTACGGAGGTTTCAAGCCTCTGCAGGTGACTGGGCCCTCGGAGGCCTGGTACGGGAGCCACGGTGGAGAGCTCTCTGATGGTCGGTGGCCGGCCGCCTGGAGTGTGTGGGCAGATGCGGGGTCCGCGTGGCTCCCACTCTTCTGCCCAGCGTCCTGCCCGCTGCCACACTGGAAACGGAGCCCGAGGCCTGGGTGCTCCCCACCAGGGGCTCCGTTCTGGTCTGGCAACAGTTTTTTCTTGTTTCAACGTCCGGATTTTTTTTCTGATATCTTAGGGACTGACTTCCTGTGGCTTCTGTGTCTTCCAGTCCCCTCCTTATGGCCCTGCTGTCCTTGTTCCTAAAAGGAGTCTCCCAACGTGGCACAGCGCCGGGTCTGTCTCCGCCTTTCGACTGGATTGCCTGAGCCATTCACTCACGTCCAGTTGACCATGGACACACCCGCCCGCCCGCCCGCCTGCCTCTCCTGCAGAGTCTGGCGGTCTCCGCTGCTGCCCCCGGCCTGTCCCCCCTTCCTAGTCCATGTTTCAGGGCTGTTCTGACGTTTCTTATTTGCTCAGTCTCATCTTCACCCATCGGAATCGACTCAGGGGACTGATTCTGGCCTGACTCTGGTGGCTGTGAAGCCTTCACTGTGACATCTGACATCCGGTCCTTCTCAAGGAGGCTCCAGTGGCCTGCTCCTCCCATGTCCACATCAGCCTTCCCGTCTCCACCGTCTCCTACTGTCTGTGGCGAACTGGAAACTCAGGGACAAGGGCACACTGTGGACCTGCCCCCCCCCCCGGCTGCTGGGTGCCCAGTTCTTCTGACTTGGTCACTTGAGTGAAGTTGGCCTCCTCCACCCCGTGGCAGTGGGCGCTCTGGACTCTGGTGGCGCTGCCCCCTTGCTGGCCTCTGCACCCAGCTGCTGGGCTGCGCTGACTACCCAGCGACTGCTCTGGTCTTAACGTGCCTGGGACAAGCTGCTCAGCAGGCTGGACCAGTCACATTCAGGGGAGATGACCTTCGGGGCCACCCTCTGAGGTCTGTTCCGACCCAGAGGGCTCTTCTCCCCTTGCCCCTCTCCTTGTTCTCTGTACAGAATCAGCTCTGAGACCAAAGCGTGCTCAGGTTCCACGTGAAGTCCATGGGGCCTTTCCTTTGACTGCCTCTCCCCTGGACGTGACGTCTGCACCGGGACCCTGAGCCGTCTGTGGTCTGGGGGTGAGCGGGGCCAGGTGGTCCCCGCAGCCTCAGCTCAGGGCCACACTTTGCCTGTTGGCACAGGTTGGAGAGACTGGGAATGCCGGTGACTGCCCGGGAGGGACATGGAGCTGAGGGGAGAGCGAGCTCCTCCTCGTGGCCAGCTCTGTCCCTGTGCAGTGTCCACAGCGTTAGTGAGGAGAGAGTGGGCGCGGCCCAGGCCACCGAGTCTTCCTAGATTTTCCTGAGTAAGTACCTCCTGGTGTCTGTCTGTCAGCTCCATGGCGTTTGCTAGGGAAGGACACTCAGCAGAGCCCTGGAACCTGGTGAGGGCCTCAGACCACAGCCTCCTAGGAAGACCGCACCTGGCAGGGTCAGGTGGGGAGTGGAATACCTAGATATGCTGGGCAAGCAGAGGCCGGATACAAAGGGCCAGAGGCCACTCAGAGAGAATCTGTTCAGTTCACAATCGCTGAGCTATGGAGCCAACCTAGGTGCCCTTCGGCAGATGAAGGTCTTGTACACAGTGGAATATTACTCAGCCATAAAGAAAACGAAATTATAGCATTTGCTGGTAAATGGATGGAGCCAGAGGCTGTCCTGTTAAGTCGGCCATCCCCCCAAACCGAAGGTGAATGTCCTCTCTGATCCATGGACGCTGACACCCCACAAGGGAGGGTGGAGAGGGGAAGGACAGCAGTGTCCCAGGACCCCTGCAGCACCCTCTCCATGTGCAGCCAGCCTTCCTTGGTCCCTCTTCCACTGAGCCACGCCCCAGGCCTTTTGAGAAAGGGTCTCGAGGCTTTCCTGGAACTTGTGACCCTCCTGCTCCAGCCCCCAGACGTCGGGGATCACAGGTGGGCAGTGAGGGGGACGTGAGCCAACCCACACAGCGCTGGGCACCTTGCTTTTGTAAACAGCCGGGACTCTTTGGCTCCCCTTTATTTTTACGAGGCGTGATGGATACCTCCTCCTTTTAAAAACAAGGAGAAGAGGGAACACCAAGGGCACCCGTCTGCCCTCCCTCCTCTCCATGTGCCCACGGTCAGCCATCCTGGGCACCCAGCCTGCTCAGCCTCAGCAGGGGCGCAGATGGCCTGGGATGTCCCCCACAAAGGGCCGAAGGACCCCAGCTTCCTGCCCACCTGTCATGGCTTAGACGTGCTGACCCCAACACTTCACAGGTAAGACAGTTCCAGGTTTGGGGGAGAGACGATTGGGTCATGGTAGCCTAACGCGGTCGGTGAGCTCACCCCTAACAGGGCTGGACGGAGCGGTGCCTGAAGGCAGGTGGGCTGGCGGCAGGAGGTGGGTGGGCATGGGGGCGTGGCTTGGGCCAGTGGAGTCTCTGCTCCTGATCACCATGTGAGCTGCTGCCCTCTGCCTGAGCCCTGAGGAATGGAGGCTGCTGTCTATGGCCCCCAAAACTGTGGGCCCTCAAGTCAACTTCCCCTCCCTCATAGCTGTCCTGGTCAGGTCCTTTAGTGACCGCAGCAGAACGCTGACTCAAACGCCACCCCACCAGACTCCCCCAAAGCCTGCCCCAGCCTCAAACAACTCCCGCCTGGAGAAGACGGAGGGCGGCCTCTGGGCCCGCCAGGGTGTCCTGGGAACCCGCCCTCCTGGGAAACTCCCCCCAGGGCCCTTCACCTCCTCCCGCAAGCCCTCCTGGCGGCTCAGCCGGCCAGCAAGGCCCCTCGTGATCCCAGCCACCTGGGCAGAGGGTACGTCTGTGTCCCTCTTGCTCCCCCACCGACTGCAGGCCAGACCAGATCCTGTGGGCACCGACAGGCCCAGGCCAGGGACAGAGCAGCCTGGGCCAGTCCTGAGTCAGCTCTGGCCAGAGCCTTCTCAGGCCTCCTCTGGCTGATGCTGTCCAGAGGTGGGGACCTCCCAAGACCTACCCCACATTCATTCCTCTCTGGAGACCCAGCTCCCTGCAGAAGTCCCCCCACTGCTACGGGAGTCCCAGCACTCAGACGCCACCTGTGTGCCCTCTCCCTGGGAGCCACATCCTGCCCACGGGGGATCTCCAGGGTCCACAGGTCCCACCCACACTTG